CCGGAAATTCAATCAATTGGTTGAGAGACTTGACTCACCAACTTTGCAACACCCAGGGGGCGGAGCCAAGATTGTTTCACAGTGGGGCTCTAATTCAACTCAAATTCAATGTTTTATCCTTGAATTTTTAACAAACAACTTGTAAGATCAATGTATATTGATCAAGCAACCATGTTGTTTGAATTTTCAAGTGTTTCATAATTAAATAAAATAGTTGAAAATCACAAGCCTTTGACCATGAGCAATGCAAAATTTCCTTAGGACTCGCGGATTGTCATAGTTACTTGCTCATTTTGTCATGGCTTTGTTTGTGGCATTTTAACAAACATTTAATAGGCAACAATGGTTTGAGGATAAAACAACTACATTTTGTCTACATACATTTGTTAAGGACTCCATTTATTTTCTAAATTGTGGAAATAACCCTATTTGTTTTATAAATTTTCAATGGGGCAATCTTTAAACACTTCTGAAACTTTTCAAAATTCTACCTAGGCCCCAAAAGTTGTTAAAATTGCAGTGTGGACCGCTGCCCACATTGCAAATCCGCCCCATGGCAACACCTATCTCTAATACATGTTATAATATATAACTTAAAATCAATTGAATATTTGGTAGTCCTCAACCTATTATCATAACTTAGATCTGTTTGCTGCAAACATGTTATGTATGACTATTGGAATGACCGTCGCAAATGTAACAAAAAAATCCAAAGGTTAATGTAGGTGAATATAGTAATGTAAGCCTTGGAATTTATCATCTAGCCAGGTAGAAATCAACCAACTTACACTGAACTTCATTGGATCACAATTCCCTCCCCCATTGGATGAAGATGGTAGTCGTCGAGCCAGCTGTCTCTATAGATAGAGAGAAATATTAATGCAATTTCTTTTAGTGAAAATTAGAGTTTGTGTCATATTAAAATGGGATTTTTGCATTTTGCACCATGAAAGATATCTCGATTCTTACTTTATACCCCAAAAATTTATTTTTTCCACATTACACCCTGAATGTCATAAATTGGTTCCAATGTGGCCCTCGGACTAACTTCTATTTCAAATTCCGTTAAAAATTAATGCACATGCCACCCAAGGATATGGATGGTGAGTTTACATTTTTATCCAAAAACATCACATATGGGTGGCAATTGTATTAATTTTTAATAGAATCTGAAACGGATGTTAATCCGAATGCCACATTGAAACCAATTTATGATATTCAATGTGCAATGTGGAAAAAATAATCTTTTCAAGGTATAAAGTGAGAATCGAGAGATTTTTTTGGGGTGCAAAATGCAAAAAATCCTATTAAACTTTGTCTATAATTATCATGTATATTTAGGAACAGAGTCAAGATTTTCAACGGGGCAAATAATGACAAAATTTGGAATGTTATTCAACAAGTCATTGTTATTGTTAAATTTATACTTACATAAAATTTATCCAAAATCAACTTCAACATGATATATCCAGGAATAGTGGCAAAGATACATCGACTACTCGGAATAAATTAGAGGATCTACTAAAGGGATCCACCAACCGACATTCATAGGTCTCTTGTACAACAATTGGGTCCGACATAGGAGGTTTACTAACTCAGGAGCGCAATCCATAGATTAATGGTTTGAGCTTGGTTGTGCACAGTATTGAGTGCCCAACCGCGGCTAAAAGGGTCGATTTGACTCATATCCTGGACTTGATCTTTAATCCTACACCGAAAAAACTTAGTTGGATTATAAAATTTAAACATTATCCTTACATCCTATAGTTAGGTCATTAAGCCTACTAATACAATAGATGAAAATATAGCTTTTGAAAATCTCAGAGGGAGGTAGGGGTATCCATGAGCCGGGTTATCCACGGGTCCAGTTACCCGGCCCAAAAAATGGTTCAAAATCTGATAGGCCAGATAATTGGCCCACCTGAACCCTAGCCCAATATATTCTTGAAAATATGGTTTGGGTTTATCCCCAAACCCGAAGCCCGGCCCAATAGCCCGCCCAAAAAAGCCTGTTAAAACTCGGCCCAAGAGCCCGCCCACCCTTCATTTAAAAAAAAGTTATATTTTTAAATTATGAAATTTAAAACTTTGAAATAAATCTCCCAATATCGAAATTTGAAATTTTAGAAATATATATTATAAATAATGTATTATTTTTTTTTCATAAAGCATACAAGTTTTAAAGGATAGAATAATGCAAATGATAGATAAGTGAGTAGGTGTCAATTTAGTTAAAATGTATTTATTCTATTGAATGTAGTTCATCCTTTAATTAAAAATAAAATTATTCATTATTTTATTATTTTTTTTTATCTATTTTGACTCTATTTTTGATTTAAAAATATAATTTACACAAATATTAAGTCACAAAAATATTCATTATTTTAAAATAAAATTATATATAAAAAAAACTCTCAAATAGGCCCACCCAATAGGCTGTGGGTAGCCTACCTATACCCGAAGTCCAGTACAGTCCGTCCGATAACTCACCTGGGTAAGGACTTAAGCCTACACTACCCAGACCCGTCCCAAAAAAAAATTCACGGGCCTAGCTCAACCCGGCCCATGGACAACCCTAGAGGGAGGCATCAAAATTTTTAAAATCTAAAAATGGTGTAGAGTGGGTTGCCTTGAGGCCAGGTCATAGAGATTTATTACTGATGAATATCCTAATTTCGGCATCGATAATCTATTTTTAACTAAAACGAGAATAGAATTAGTCGAAATACGCATAATTTAATTTAAACACCACCGACAATTGAACTGTGGGGGCATGGCCCCAAGGGAGCACTGTCCCTTTGTATATTTATAAATTTGAATCGTGTTAGTCAAGTGAATTTGGTAAATTCATTCATTTACTATTCAAACATGAGAAGGCAAAATTAAAGAAGAGAAATTAAATATAAATAGAGATTGGAGAAGAGAGGGAGAAATAAAATACCAATTTTCATTGTAAAAAGCTAGTTTAATGTAGGATCTATTTAGGATATTATTTGACATGATAAGGTTAGGATCGAATTATGAATTACTTCTACGATTATTTCTATTATAAAAACCTTGTAGAGGTACGTGTTATTAGATTCAAAAAAAAAAGAAAAGAAAAAAATGCTTGATATATACATTATATCTTGTTATTCCTTTTCATTTAAAAAAGTGGGGCTGCATTCTAATCTGAGTATGTGGTGCCGTGGTGGTGTGTTCCCTGTGCCATATCTGCTTCAAATATCAAAACATTTTGGGTAATTATTTTCTAAAACATTAGTAGAATGCAATTTTGCTAAATTTTCTATGACATATTTTAGAAAAAAATTTATCCACACCCTTTTTTTAGATAGACATATCTTTAACGAGACTTTCTCTATTTTTAAAATTTTTTTATGTATTAAAATTTGAGTCGATTAAAATCCGATTCGAGGTGATTAAATTTTATTTTTTTACTTATTAAAATTTAAGTCTCGAATTTTAATAAATAAAAAAATAAATTATAATCAGCTTGAGTCAATTTTTAATTAACTCGAATTTTAATCAAATTTTATATGAAAATATTATTTGGGGTTTATGTATGGGTAATTTTGGCATTTCAAATAATTTTTTTTTATTATGAACGATGGTTTAACAGTAGGAGTGTCAGTTATGTTTTGAATAATAGAGAGAGTATCATTCAAGATATAATAAATTAAAAGAGATGTCCAACATTACAACTTTTCTTTTTCTCTTTCATGTTTGTTGTCTTTTTTTATAATTAAAAAAATACAAATAAGGAAAACAACCAGCCATAAATGGAGATAGAGGGTCAAGTGAGTCTCAAAAGCGGCAGAAAGAAAATTGGAAGAGAAAGAAAGAGTACAGAAACCTCGTCCATGATATAGTTAATATCAACCCATGGCCATGAGACATTACAACTAGTGGCCTCAGCAGCATTCACGGGTGTTTTTTTCCATTTTCTAGCAAATCAGGAAAATTAAGGGTGCGTTTAGTAATATTTTTAATTTTTTGTTTTTTTTTATAAAAAAAGACATAATTAATTTTTATTATTTTTGTGATAAAAATTAAAAATATAAAACATATTTAATAGTCATTTATATTTAAAAAATTATAAAAATAAAAATAAAAAACATGTTTGATGCTATATATTTTGGATAATATTTTTATTAATATTATTTTAGTTAATATATTCATCCCAAATACCTAAATTGGAGATGTTCTTTGTGATATAAAAAAAAAAAATTAGAGATGTTCTTGTTGACACACTCACACACACATAGATCTATATATAACAGTACACACACACATTTTTTCACTCAAAATCATCGTATTACAGCCGTCCCCTCCCTCTTAACGTTACTCCATGCACTTAATACACAGCGCCTGACACATGCTGCATCCTTTTTCTCTCTTTTTTTTTTTTTCCCACCCTCTCTTAGTCCTTACCCTCTCTCTCTCTTTATCTTTCTCTCTCTCTGTCAAGCAACACCACCACCACTGCCACTTCGTCAGCAACACCACCAGCAACCTAGCAGACCCCTACCCTTCTTTCCCCTATGCGCAAACACCCTCTCCCATTCCTCTTCTTCGCAAACACCCGCTCCTCAAAGACCCAGCAGAACACACGCCCTCTCACCAACGCAGAACACACCCCCTTCTGCGCAAAGAACACACACAAACACAGCGCACACACACACACACACACAAAACACCCTTAAAACACTCACGGGTTCTCTCTCTCTTAGCCTACCAGTGCCACCGTCACCAGCAAAGCAACATTGCAATGTTCCAGGTATTTCTCTCTATCCCCCCCCCCCCCCCTCTTTTTGTTTCTCACTGAAATGTTTTCTGAGATGCCCAAAACCCAGACCCCATCATAATGCCATGACGTGTTTGTTGAAATGCCTAAGAGAACCCACACCCACACCTACTGTTGTTTGCAAGCACATCTCTCAGCCACCCCTCTCCCGCCCTCCTTCTACCTTTCTCATACACAAACAGCACACCCAAACCCCTCAGCCATCACACTCACAGACCCACACAAAGCCTCTCAGCCAACATAGAAACAACCTACACACACAAATGCAACCCACTCTTCAGCCACGCACACATACTGTCAGATTCTTTGAAGAGAAAATTACACCTTTAAGCCGTAATAAAGAGAGTGCTGTGCAAAGGGATAAAGATATAGAAATGAGAAATATCCTGACTTACCTTTTATAATTAGTAGTCGGTGTGTTGGCATCTGCTTCGGCTACAATGTCTGAAACTTCAAAATGACGTCTCGTCTTACTTGGCTTTGGAGTAGGAGCAGAATGAAAATTTTAAATTCAAAACCAGAGAGAGAGAGAGAGAGAGAGAGAGAAGCCAAAATTGTTTTCTGAGACGTAATTAATGGAGCCAACAAAAGCATCATTTTTTGTGTTTACAAATTTGGACCATGTTTTTAAAACAAGGTGGCTTAAAAAAAAATAAAAACACAACAGAAACACGTTATTGTTTTCTCTTTTTTTTTTTTTTTGCAAAAGTGAACACAAACAAAAAAAAAAATACAAACACACGATTATCAAACGGAACCTAAGTATAAGCAGAGATATTGGAAAGTAAGTCCTAAAAACAAGGGAAAGAAAAATGGGAAGAGAGAGAATGAGACAGAGACAGAAAGAAGCAGTAGAAAACCAACCTCTTGGGGGAAAATTGTACGTGGACTTGTATTTGTTTCCTTCTACAATTGTTCCTTATTTATTCTTTTTATTAGTTATTTGAAACAATCATAGATAAATACTTTAAAAGAAAGTCTAAATCAAAGTTATTACTATCTGCAAACAAAAGAAGTGGTAATGAATTTTTAAGTGTTATATAATGAATTTATATGTATTATTTATTTTTAATCGATAAGAAATTAAAAATTAAAATTTATAATTAGTGCTCACACAAACTACCGCCTCTTCATCCGAGGATAAGGAATCACCATTGGTGGCTTCAGCAGTAGTCACAGGTGTGTTTTCTATTTTCTAGCAAATAAGGAAAATCAAGTATAAGTGGAGAAAATGGAAGGAGAGTCGTTTGAGAGAAAGAGAGAGAGAGTAGAAAAACAAACCTGCGGGGAGGAATTTCCATCGACAATCTCAACCGGCGAAGGCGATGAGGAATCAGCACTGGTGGATTTAGCAGTAGTCACTGGGTTGCATTCCATTTTTCCTTGGGAATAATCTGAAGAGAAAATCAGAAAATGGTATATGACGGTGGCAGAGAAGATGAGATTGTCTACTAACTTAAATATAAAAATAATTTATAGATCTACAATGTGGAAAGAGGTAGAAGATGCTATGAAATTTCCATCTAAAACCAGAAGTTTCTGAGAAATGGAGATTTGAGAGATGAGGAATCACCACTGGTGGCTTTAGCAACAATCACTGGCTTGCTTTCCATTTTTTCCTTTCTGATCTGAAGAGAATATTGCAATTCCCGTGCCGGAGGAGATGAGAATATTGTCTACTTAAATATAAAAATAATTGTCCACAACTTCCTCACCACTGGTGGCTTTATTATCATTTCTCAACAAGATGAGAGAGAGAGAGGGAGCTCTACAAGCACTAGTCAAACCAAATAAAAGCCCCAAAAGTATTTTTCCTATTAAGAAAAGATAGCATTAATGCTATCTCTATGCAACATAACTGGCATGCCCATGGTTTTTAGACATCTTTGCCCTCTACATTTTTCTGATACCAAAATACCCTTTCCTTTTTCTCTCTTTGTCTGAAATTACCTGGAAGACCCAATGTACCTTTCCTTTTTTTTAAGCAGTGAAATGCAAAAGATTAATATAATATCAAATTTGTGAACAAAAAACTACACATTTGAGCACAATTTATTGAATAGTAATGCTTTGGTATCATGCCAAAAAAATATTGAATTATAAATTTTAAATTAGATGTTGTGTAATCATTAATAGTAAAAATAATAAAAATATTTTATGTGTCATTTTGTAATTGGGTAAAAAGAGTATGGGACCCTTGTATATGCGTGGGTTGGTAGAGGGATATTTTGGACATTGCATGGAAAAAAAAAAGGAGAAAAATCAGAGGTGATAATGTGGCATTATGGTAAATTTAAAAGCAGGTAGCTCGATTTTCAACAAAGAGGGGCTCGATTGAGGTGACAGGCCAGTCAAAGTTGGAAAATTATTATCAAACTTAAAAAGCATACACCGACGCGACGGGATCATTGCACATTATTACCAGTAACTTATTTTAAAATATATTTTTCTATATTTTAAAATACATTTGACTTTCTACGAAGCTCCCCTCGTGCTCTGACTATGACAGTACTTGAAACCTCTCCCGTCTCTCTAAAATTTGTCCTGGGGTAATTCGTGACCGAAGATGCAGTGTCCTATAAGTAAGAATTGATGAATTTAAAAGGGGAGAAATTTTTTGTAAATGATTTTGAAAGGGATGTTAGTAGTCGTTAAATGAGTTTATTTGAAATTGTCGTATGGACTTATTGAAGTCTGTTAAATTTTATATTATAAATTTAACACAAATAAAAGTAATATTGTATCATTTTTAATCTTTTTACAAATTTTATATTTTACTCATTTTTGACTATATATTTCATAATTTTTGAATCAAATGATGCTCCAACAAATCCTACAAATACGGGAATCAATTTTAGTTTTAAGAGATTTGGTATAGACTTTTTTTTTTGTTCTAATACCTAATTTGTTTGACCCAATTAATTTTATTTTTCATAAATTATTACAGTGGACCCAATTAAGAATATCCAAAAAAAATATTTAAAACAATTATAACAAAAAAAAAAAAAAATTCAAGGTGAAGGTAAAATTCAATCTATAATATAAAAATTCTGCCCTCCACCACTACCAGAGAGTGAAGAGTGAAGTGTGAAGATTGAGAAAGGGAAGGTAAAATTTAATTTAAATGATTTTGAAAGAAATGTTGATAGCCGTTGAATGAGTTTATTTGAGACCATTGGATGAATTTATTCAAATTTTTCTTGTTTTATATTATAGATAAATTAACGAAATATGATAGAATTGACTTAAAAAAATATTAATTTATATACATATAATCAAATCGAGTCAAATCTAATATAAACTAAAAATCTAATTTATCAAAAAAACATATATCCAAAATATTTTTTATCAAAAAAAGATCTACAAATATCATTCACCAAGGTTCAGATTATTGTAAATAAATTAATCCCTAGTTGAGTCTATTTGAAATTGTCGAATGAGCTTATTGAAGTCTACCCTATTATATTATAGATTTGACACAAATAAAATGAATATTCTATAATTTTTAATCTTCTTACAAATTTTATATTTTATTAATTTTTGACTATATATTTCATAATTTTTGAACTAAATGAGACTCCAACAAATCATACAAATATTTTAAGGAATCAATTTTAGTTTTAAGAGATTTGGTATAGACTTTTTTTTTTTTTTGATTCTAATACCCAACTTCTTTGACCTAATTAAATTTATTTTTCATAAATCATTACAGTAGGCCCAATTAAGAATATAAGAAACATATATAACTAAAAAAATATTCAGGGTGGCTCCAAGCCCATCCTCCTTCTGCCACTTCCAGAGAGAGAAAGTGAGAAGAGGAAGGTAAAATTCAATCTGAATGGTTTTGAGAGAGATGTTGGTGGTCGTTTGATGAGTTTATTTGAGACCGTTTGGTGAACTTACTGAAGTATTTTTTGTTTTATATACATGTAATCAAAATCGAGTCAAATCTATTATAAACTAAAAATCTAATATATCAAAAAATATATCACCAAAATATTTTCTATCAAAAGAAAAAATTCAACAAATATCATTTATAAAATATTATTTTTTTAATTAGCACAAGTTATTACAAAATTATTAATTTATAAGAATATATTAGCATTGAGTTTTCTTAAGAGATAAAAAAAATTAGTCTTGAACTTTTGATTCAATATATGTGTAATACATGTTCGTTTGAGATAATTAATTAGATAAATAAAATTAAAATTAATTATATTCAGTATAATTGTGTTAAACAGCGCCCTTGTTTTTTTTATCGGTTAAGTTGATGAGTTTTTTTTAATCAAAATGTTATCATTGTATCTTATAAAAATTCAAAATGTTACACTACACAAATGATATTAATGACAAATTTGACTCATTTAATAATTATATCAAAAAAACTTGTGTTCCAAGATTAGTCATAATTATTTATCGGTTGGGAGGAAAATATTAAAGGAAGAAAATGGTAATCATTGACCTGTTGGGAGAGAAATATTGAGGAAAAAAAAGTTAATTTCTTGACCGTTTGATGAATGAATTTGAGACCTTATGATGGGCTTGTTGAAACCGTCTTATTTTATATTATAATAATTATAATATATATATATATATATATATATTGTAAAATGTCTCAACGCCCTCTAGGGGTGTCCATGGGCCAGGCCGGGCTTCGGGTAGTGGTAGGCTACTCGCAGCCCAACTCGTGAATCTATTGGGCGAGCCTGTGTTGCGAGCTTTTTTATATACATCTTTATTTAAAAATAATGAATATTTTTGTCACTTAATATTTATGTAAATTATATTTTTGAATCAAAAATAAAGTCAAAATAGATAAAAATAAAATAATGAACTACATCTAATAGAATGAATAAATCTCAACTAGGTTGACACCTACTAACTTATCTATCATTTGTATTATTCTATCATTTAAAACTTATATGTTTAATATATGAAAAATAAAATAATACATTATTTATAATATCTAAATTTTTAAAACCTCAAATTTCGATATTGAGAGACTTATTTCAAAATTTCAAATTTAATGGTCTAAAAGTATAACTTTTTTTCAAAAAAAATGTAGGATATGGTAGGCTGGGTTGGGCTTGCGGGCGGGCTCTTGGGCCGGGCTTCGGGCTGGGTAATGGGTTTAGAGGCAAACCCAAGCCCCCTTTTAAAGGATATTGGGCTCGGACTCGGACTCGGGCGGACCAACTATCGAATTTCGGGCCTATTTTTTTTGGACAGGATAACGGGACCCGTGGATAACCCGGCTCATAGACACCCCTAACGCCCACCCAAAAAAAAAAAATACTAAGCCCACTCAAAATAATTAAAAAAAAAAAAGGCAAGGCCTATCAGGCCACCACCCATTTCTTGTGCACAACAACGTACGTGCCATGTGGCTCCCACTCACCTGTTTTTTTTCAACGATTAAGAGTATAAGTCAGTTTACGTGCATATCAATTAATCGTCTTCTTGATTCAGTCAAAGTCAGATCATCTATATCGAAACTAAGATATATTCATGAGGGATAAATCTCTCATGAAACTACTTCTATATTTCAATCAACCAATGAATTATGACTTAATTTCATTATTCCATTGCTAAGATTCATCCAGTTGAAGTAACTAATAACTTCAAATTGCAATAAAATAATAATATTATTAAATCATCAAAACTACTTATATATTTCTTTTTTAGTTTCTATTCACAGGGTCTTTGTGAATCCATCTGACTTTCGTTCTTCCATTTCTTTGTTTCGAATCATTTTTTGAATTCTTCAATCTTTTTTTTGATTTCATCCGTTTATTCATTCAACTCATAGTCATAGACGAGATATAAGGACTTCTATTGGAATCCGCATCCAAATTCACAGTAGTAAGACAAATTAGATATATATAAAACTAGTCAATATCTAATATTACATATAAATGTATTTGTTCCATAACGTAAACCAACTATTGATTCATCTTAGATTCAATCGGATTCGAGAATCATTTATCGAAACTTCCACAAGAATTGAGTTATATTCATTCAATTACATATACCTAGTTCGACCCTCTGTAAATTCTTCTCTTCCTTTCTTTTTCTTTATCATTCTCCCACATGGATACAGTCTAAATGGACAAATTGATTAGACTGAATCGTTCCATAGAAATAACATTATTTGATTGATCTCAGTTCATCCCACTTATTATTTATTAATCTTTTTTTTGGCCAATCTGGGAATCGTTCTATAGAACATCATTTTTTATTTAATCACACATCGTAAACGTTTACCACAAGAATTCTTATTCAAATTATGACTCCTAATATTTATATTTAATATTGGGATTGGCTGACCAATATAAAATGAATATTCATTGAGGGGGACCCTAAAAAATTATCAAAATTTAAACTTATGACGTCTTTACCTCAAGAATTATCAAAATTTAAACTTATGACACTTTTACGGCTTATCCTTATTACCACTCGAGTTGTTCTTTAAGGATAGCTCCCACTCACCTTCCTCTTCTCTTTTCTCCCTCTCCCTCTATCTCAAATGCTCAGCGACAAACAACCAACCTTTTCTCTCCCGGCCTCTCTTTTTATCTCCGTCTTCTTTGTCGTGGCACCCACCACTGACAACAGTGACCCACATACATTTCTTCTAGCCTTCCTGAATTCCAAGTAAACTCTCCCCTCTCTCTCTCTCTCTCTCTCTCTCTCTCTCTCTCTCTCTCTCTCTCTCTCTCTCTCTCTCTCTCTCTCTCTCTCTCTCTCTCTCTCGACGCAAACAGAGCACCACAGTGCATACACACGCACTCAGTTGCACAACACACATCCACACACA